TATCTCAGCTTCCAGTTCAATCCTCCAGGATGTTTTTTCTGCACACGTGGTCCCGGGTTGACAGTTTCTTCAGCATTTGATATGCAGGGCACCAGTTTCTTTTACCCTCCACGTTGTGTTGCAAACTCCTCTGTCATTCAAACTGCTCCTTCCTAGATACAGATGTCATTTATCTCACTCCATTGAAATGTTTTCTTTTTGTTTTTGCTTTACTTGGCAATAACATGCATTGCTGTCTATTTTTTTAGATGCATCCTGTGAGTTCATGCAGCTTTTTGAATTTGTAGGTTTTGAGGGACTTTCTGGCATATTTCTATGAGTCCTTTTCCACCCTTATCCCCTTTTTACTGTCTTTCTGAGACTTTGGTGACACAATGAACCCCAGGAATTCACCACTGTACTGTACTTGAATCCTTACATTCCTATTGGGCCTCTTCCTAATTTCTATTTTCTAGAATCTTCCTGTGTTTATGTAATGGTCAAGATTTGTAGAGGGAAAAGAATGGACAATCTCCACCTCCTGGAAACAGAGACTCTCCTTTTTTTTTTTTTTTTTACAACCCTCCTTCTTGAGTTATTTAAAACGGGCTTCTCTAACTCATGCCAAAACAGTTCTGATTTCTAAGATCCAAGGCCAGGTTACAATGGACCAGAAATACTTTTTTGGGGATCCTTACAGTGGGTTTTGCTTCTGGTAACTGGGAGTATAAGGAGTCCCATGAGTCCCCTGGGTGATGCAAATGGTTTGTGTTTGGCTATTATTGTTGTATACCATGAGTCAGAACCAACCCCAGTGGGTCTTCAGAAACAGCAAATTGCATGAGACAAGACTGCAGTAAATCACATGAGAGATTGCCCATCTAACTCCCACAGAGCAGCTGGTAGATTTGGACTGTGTACCTTTGCTTTGGCATCACAATCTCAGAACAGCACTTAGCCATGAGAGCCCCCTACTCTGTTGGCTACTAATGTAAAAACTGTCAGTTTGAACTCACCTAGAAGTTCTGTGGAAGAAAGGCTTGGCACTCTCCATCTGTAAAGTATACAGGCAAGAAAACCTTAGGGAGAATGTCTGCTCTCTAATGCATGGGATCACTATGAGTTGGAATCGACTTTATGGTAACATAGTTGTTCTTTTTTTGGGGGTTTCACAGGCCGTAGAGTAAGGGAGCATATTATGTGATGACAAGTTTCCTCTCTATAAAACTCTTTCATCTAGTTGAGGAAGATGCTGAGATACAATTGGCAAAGGTTTATTCCCTACAGGAACTATGCAGGAGACTGTGTAGGACAGAGACATTGGAGGCCATAAAAGACTTGTTCTAACTTTCCAGAAAATAGAGCAGAGAGTATTGGTCTTCTCAGCAGGCACAGTCAGGGTGGACACACATGTGCATGAGTCCTGTTAGTGGTGTTCTCCAGCCCTCTAAAGGCAGAGATGCCAAAGGCCGGTTTTGTCTTTGCTGTCTTGAGTCACAGTTCAGTTTCAAACAGAAATGCCAGGGCTCCTGAAGGCCTCGCCTCTGGAATTTCTGCTCTGCCACAGCGCTGGCGGAAGTAGGTCTCAGAGCAAACTCCTATTGCCCGGCTCCCTCTTCCCTCCATTAAGCAGGAGCTCCTTGAAAAAGATTGATTTGCTGCATTAAGCGAGTCTCAGTGTGCTCGATGCAGATGTCACAAGACAAACGGCTCCCACCGTGTGCCTTGAGCCCACTGCCCAGTGTTTCCATTCCATTTGGGCTGGAGTCATAGTGTGTGAGTTTGGTGTAGTTCATTTTTTGCCTTACACAGTAAAGTTGTCAGCGTTTGACCGATCAGCTACTTGTAAGCATAGAGTTCATTTGCCAGGCCACCTGGCTCCCTGGGGCTGCTGTCCTGTGCCTATTTCACTCTGTCTAATGAGTCAAGACCTGCTTGCTAGCTCCCTGAGCATATGGGCCCGATAGAGCCTGCATGTCTGCAGGGAGCAGAGAGGTCTCATCCCCACTTTTGGGATCCCTCCCTTCTGCTTGGAAGCAGAACTGCCCAGAGGAGCTGTCCTTTCTGAGTGGCAGCTTCATACTGTCCCCCAGCTTCCATTGCACTGTCTGTTGGTGGGCTAGGCTTGCTATGAGCTTCCTGGGGAGTGCCAGCCTGCGCACTGTGGCCCATGCCCTCCTGGTTCAGCAAATAGCTGTTTCTAAGGAAAGCCTGGAAAAGGCAGACATCAGGACTGGACTTATTCATTAAATAAACCACTTGACTGTGTGAAGCCAAATCAGGGTGGGGCAGTGAAGTACAAGAGGTTATGAGGAAGGTTAGAAGATCCCTCCTGCTCCTCTAGATCCCAAGAAGATCCTACCACCCCAGTGCACCTCAAAACCTTATCCTCAGAAGAATGTTTTCCTCCTCCCCAGAGATGAAGATCTGCATAAGAGACCCTGAAATCTCCTTCCCTCAGAATTTGCTAATACCAGAAGGGAGGGAATGAGCCATAAACTTGGAGACTGCTTCACCCAAGGACCTCCTCAGGCCCTTCTTGTGGACCTGGAGGAATCATCTGTGTGGAGTGGGCCTCCTGTGGAAGCCTCTGCAAGTGTTGAGGAGACCCCCAGGAAGTTCTTAGGAATCACAACAAACTTCCCCCCTGTGCATGGTGAGGTATCAGTCCAAGGAGATGGGGCGAGGTTAAGGGCTGAGGGGCCAGCAGGGTCTTGTGGTGAGAACTGGGCCACTGCTGTTCTGTGCTAAAAGCCATGGAAGAAACTTGGCTGGTGAAGAGTTTGGGAGGAGTGGTTGTGGTCGTGCAAACATCCTGGTGAGAGTGTGAACTAGCTGGCTTGAAAGGACACGCTGGGACCTCAGGAAGGCAGATTTTCAAAGATGTCAAGAAATGATGGACTCGAGATTTTACTAGAAGTAACAAGTCCAGGGAGGTGTGAAGGAATGCTCGGGAAGAAGTTCTGACCCAGCAGACACAGGGATCCAAAAGAGGAGGGCAAGATTAGGAAGGGACAGAGGTGGGGGACGACACAGGCCATATGCTGATGAGCCGTAGCCTGAAAGGGTGTGCAGAAGGCTGCAGGTCCAGAAACCGAGGGCATAGAGCTACTGAGGGAAATGGCAGGAGACCACTTTCAGGGACTATGTTTGCCTTAGTGGGAACCAGAGGGACAGGGAGGTGCCCTCTGACACCCTGTAGAGGGTCCACAACTCCCAAAATGTCTCTGACACAGACAATAGCCCCAGGTAAAATCAGTGATGGTCATTGTGGCATACCCAGGGGCTCTCAGCTCCACCCCTCCAATGTATGACCCCAACTTTACCAGATGGCAAAAGCTAGAGTTAGTTTGCTGTATATGACAGAAAACCCAAAATGATAGTGACTTAAAGAAAATATGAGCTTTTGCTCCCAGCAAAGATAAACTGTTGGAAATTGATACGTACATGGTGGCTCAAGAGGTCATTAATAATCTAAGTTTCTTCATTTACTGTTTTGTCACCCCTTGGGTATGGCCCTTATCCTCACAGCCCAGAATGGAGGCTAATGTACCATCACATGCATATTCTTGGTGGCAGGATAGAGAAAAGTGAGAAGGGAAAAGTGTGTGCTATCTATCTTTAAGGACGTTCTCTTGAAGCTGTAGTGCACTTAGATATTCTTGCCAATTGTAGTCCTTACTCTAAGGAAGGCTAGGAAATATACTTTCATTCTGCTTGTCCATATATCAAGACACAGCCTGGGGTTCTTTGACTAAGGGGAGAACTTTTATGGAGTAGGCACTAGTACCCTCCGCCATATAATGAATCTTTCTTCCCAATATCCATGCTCCATCTTTCTATGCACTTGCCACTCTCGTCCTGACCCCAGGGTGGGGGGGTGGGGAGGCCTTGGGCCTGCACCTGGAAGAACATCTAGCCTAGAAGCCAGAGAGTCTGGATAATGTACAACCCTCACCAGCAGGTCTTGGAGAGACTCCTTATGATTGGGTCGTTCTGTCCTACACACCAGTCTCTGATAGTGGAGAAACAGCATGCCATAATAAAGATTCCTATTGGAAAGGAGAGGAGCCTGGGAGCTACCCATGGATACTAGCCATGGTCATGGCCAGTCCCACTGGCCATGCTCTGCACCTCCTGTGCTAAGTGGAGGCAGTTCCACGGAGCAGGCCTCCTGGCTGCTTTCAGGGAGGAATCTAGTGTCTAGTGTGTCCCATGGAAGAGATAGCATCCTTCTCCATACTACTCCACTACTATATGTTCGCAGCAAGGTAGGCATTGGGGGTTACTGGCTTTGGAAGCATTTTCCTGCAGGAGCAGGGCTTGGGGATCTGGGCATCGTGAGGGGGTTAGTGTCATGTGTAAGTTGCAAGTCAGGCTGAGCCCCCTGCTTTGGCAGGGTGTCACAGGCACAGTTCACTGAGAATGTGCTCACTGAGGTCCATGTGCATGAACTACCCCAAGCTTATTGTTCCTTCTTGCCCACCTCTGACACTGAAGCCACAGCTAAGCAGTTATAGGGAGGTGCCATCCTCACTTCATAACTTCATGTAAAATTACTAGATTTTAACATTTTTGACAGCTGATTTGAATATTTTAATATCATCACTCATGACAAATAAAATGTATCTCCGAGCCAAAGGTGGCTAGTGAATGCCAAGATGGAAGTGATGTTAGGGAAGGAATTTGAGCACCGTCCCCTGAGGGAGACTACCTAGAGATCTAACGTCCACAGAGAAAACCTTTGCTGCTTCCCAGCATGAATCCACAAGGTCCAGACTAGTAGGGCCCATGACTTCATCGTCTGGGATGCAGGGACACTGAGTGTGAATTGTGGTTAAAGAGATGCTCAGAACAGGGGGGCAGACTGTACTGCTCTCCCACTGAGGTTGAGGGTCAGTTGTCGCTCTAGCTCAGGGAAGGGAGGTTCAGCCTTGGAGTGTGTAGGGCACAGGGGGAGACTCTAGGCTGGACGCAGGGCAGTCTCAACTTCTACCTGTCCTCCACCTTCTCCCTCCCAGACTCCACCAACCGAGACTCACTGGACATGATTGAACGCTGCCTCTGCCTGCTGTGCCTGGATGCCCCAGGGGGCATAGAGCTCAGTGACACTAACATGGCCCTGCAGATTCTTCACGGTGGGGGCTGCAGCAAAAATGGGGCAAATCGCTGGTATGACAAGTCCCTGCAGGTGAGTGCTGCGTGAGCATGGCCACCCAGTGCACAGCACAGTACACAGTACCAGTACCAGTACTCTATCTGATTGGCTGTCTCGCTGGCCTTAGCTACCCAGGATGCTGGACTACCAAGCCAGGGTAGGTGACGGGCACAGCTCTACTGGGCCATCTCCTGCACCTGCTAGGACTCTTCTGGCCCAAAGGTCCAAACTTAAGTCTGACTACCCTAAGTTTGGACCTCATCCATACCCTACAACCTCTGTCCCACAAGGTGGGTGATGCCAGGGCTCAGTAAGAGCAGCAGCCTGGGCTCTCCTCCAGCCCTCAACACATCCCACAAGAGTCCTGTTTCATGCATAGAGATGTCAGCCTTTCTGAATGCCTGCCACACTGGCGTGAGCAACCCACCTCCCTCAACCCCTGCAAGGAGGAGCCAGCCAAGCATCTCCATGGAAGAGAAGCTATAACACAGAAGAAAACAACATTCATCTTATCATTCCCATGACATCAGCCTGAAAAATAAGCTTCCCTCAACATTTGTTTGGTCTAGAGAAAAAGCATGCAAGTGGAGATGAAGCAGAGGCTGGGCCATTTATGCCTCCATTTTTTCTTGTCCCCACTTGCCAATTATAAATGGAATCTTTTTGAACTCACCACATTTTTAAATACTTTAGGTTAATGGCTCAGCCTTATAAGCATTTCTTTTTAATGTTTTGGTTTTTTCTATCTCTGCTGCTTACATTCTGCAGGGTAACCTTTTTGTTCATTTACATATTGATTCTGTTATACCTAATGAGTTATCTTGCTGCTGTCCTGCCTGTTTTAGCTTCCATCAGTGCTGCTAATCTTGTAATCTTTGATGGAGCAACTGTTGAAATTAAGTAAAATAATGGATGCTCAGGACAGAGTAAACCTTTGTTTACTAGCAGCTTTTTAAAGCCAACTGTGTCTTCCCTTTTAGTGACAGGGACAGAAAGCAAGAGTAAGAGAGGACAGAGTCCCTCCTCCTGCCTTATCTGAAGGGGGGACCACTTGGCACTGCTGCCATCTGCTTACTTCCTGGATCTTTTCCCAGACTGCACACATTAATGACAGAGTTGGAGAAGCCAAAGAGGTTGTGTGGACTGAGTTTGAAAATATCAAGAGCTGATAGAAGAGCATATAGAGATAGGGTCGCTATGAGTTTGCAAGCGACTCGATGGCACATAACAACAACAACAACAACAATCTCATACAACAACAATCTCATAGAAATGCTGGAGAAGTAGAGAAGAGGAAGAAATGTTAGAGAAGATGAATTCTTGCAGAAGAAACTGGGAGATTTGTGTGTTTGCTTGCTCAGAGATTGGCAACTCCCACCTTCTGGAAAAGACTAGGGAGAGGATGTGAGAAGGCAGTTTAAGGTGTATGCTGGAGGACATTTCAGGAAAGAGGTAATTTCTTGTTTGTCTATGGATATCAGAAATATCTTTTGAGTGTGATGCTGAATGCTGAAATGAGTAAGCTCAACTTTATTTAGGTTACACTCTGAGGGGAAAAGATGGGTAATCTTTTCCCATGCAATTCACAATTCACAAAAACCCACTGGAGAGTCAACTATGAGTTGGTTTCAATTTGACAACAATGAGTTATTTTTTGTTGTTTGTTAAGAACCAAACACCCTCCTCCTTCTTTCCTGCCAGCACATTTGGTGCATGGAGCTCTGACGGTGTAGTCCTTGGGAAGTTGGGTGCTTGACCTAAAGGCAGAACCTCTCTGGTTTCAAATCCACCAGCTGCTCCTTAGGAGGAAGGGGGCACTTTTCTCTCACACCATTTACAGAGTTGGAAGGTCAGCTGTAAATCGGTTCCAGTTTGCCACAATAACAGTTTCAGTGTTTTGTGCAGAGTGTGTTTCTTTTCCAAGTCAGCTCAACACAGTCTTTGTAAAAGGGAGGCCACAGAAAGTTACAGCTGCTCTTGACAGTTTGCATAGATCTTGCATGTATGTTCTCTCACCATCTCAATCCTGTGAGCTGGGTATTGTTAGACTTATTTTAATAGAACAGACTGAAGTCCAGAGTTGAAGCATGATGATGAAGGTCAGAAGGCAGCAGCAGAACTAGAGCACCTGCCCCAGACACAGGCATCAGGTTAGAGAATGTCACAGAGCACTTTTACTTACCCATGCTTGGGGGCAGGAGGGATTTTGTTTCTCCATGGGAATCTTCTTACCACTCACGTTGAGTAGCTCTCCCTTATTCATTTGTTTAACAAAGATGCAGCTTTTATGTGATCACCAGTGACTCAAACAACAGATTTTATCAAACAAATCTATGAAGCATAAAATCCTAACGAGCCTGATTTGTTGTTGTTACTAGGTTCCATTGACTCAAGTATGATTCATAGAGACCCTATGAAAATGGATCTGAACCATGTTTTATCCATGTTATCTCATCATCTCTAACACATGTTAGCCCATTGTTATAGTCACTATGTCAATCCATCTCACTGAGCTTGATATGGGAGGGGCAATACAAATATTTGTATTTAGCTCTACTTCTCTTTCTCTGTCAGGCTCAATGAAAAAGAAGTCCAGAAGCCTGGCCACAAATCAGAACAGTGTGGGCAGACTCAGCTTGCATTTCTTAAGATTCACTGTTGTGTTGTTTTGTACTGTAGAGTCGGAACTGGCCCATAGATGACCCTCTGTTGGGTTTTCAGAAGTAGTTAATCGCATAGGAGGAGATTGCCCATCAGCTGGTGGCCCCTAACTGTGTTCCTTCAGAATGCAGCACTGCTTCTTTCCACTAGGCCACCACTTGTTGTTGTTGATTGCCCTTGAGTCGAGCATGATTCATAGTGACCCTATGAACAAAAGGCCTGAAGCCTTTCTATAATTATAGTCATTTATCCAAGTTCATAGAGGCATGTTGTTTAGGAAATGAATGCCATTCCTACTTCCAAAGGCCACCCCCTAGATAGTCTCAACTGGGGAATATTGGGCTCATGTCCACTGTGCAGGATGTATTCCAGAAGGAGGCTGCCCAGTTGAGACCCAGTTGAGAGGTGCTTTGATACTGCTGCTCTCAGGCTACCACAATCGGGCAGTGGTCTTTCTGAGAGGCCATATGCTTGGTGTCCTTGGAGGAGACCTTATCTGGAGTCAAGGGCTGTTTTGGAATGGTGACCATTTATCTGTCCTCTCACTCTCCTCTCTTCCTCTGCAGTTTGTGGTGGGCGGGGATGGTGTCTGTGGCGTGGTGTGTGAACACTCCCCATTCGATGGCATCATCCTAGTGCAGTTCACGGAGCATTTGCTCAAGCACATGTAAGTATGGAAGGGCAGACTCTTCCATCTCTGGAGTAGATGTGGGGGCAAAACTCTTTTGCTAAGTGACTGCCATGCTGGAGAGGAGGATCAGGTGGCCTACAGGGTCTGGATTAGTCTAGAAAGTCTTCTTACAAAGATGTATTTAAAAGCTACCATGTGCTCCATCAGTCAGAGGAAGCAGGGGTCAACTAGGCCATAGATCAGGCAGTAGCTATCAAAGAATTTCTGCTAGCTGGGAATGTATAGGGGTGCCTAGATCAATACATGGTCTTGAATTAGAGCTCTGCCAACTAATGACCCAGCACAAAGGGGATGCTGCAGAACAGAACTCTCTTGGGGTCGGATCTTTTTTCAGCTTCAGAGTTAGCCAGACATGAGGACTGTCTATTTGATACTCCAGATTTCTTTCACATTCCACATATCCACTTGGATAAATGACTATGGTGCTCATGCTTACTTCTAAGTCCCAAATATTTTCTACTCATTGTTATGTGCTGTCAAGTTGGAAGTGACTCATAGCTGACCCTCCAGCAGGTTTTCAGAGGCTGTAAAATCACATGGGAGGAAGTTGTGTACCCTTCTCCTGCAGAACAGCTGGTGGATTCTAACTGAACTGCTTTTGTATTGGCCCCTCAGCTCCTTACCACTAGGTCACCAGAGCTCCCTCTTCCACTTGCTAAGACTCTTAAAATTCAAACCAAAGCTCCTGGGGATAGCACAAATAGATAAACACTCAGCTACTCACTTAAAGGTTGGTGTCTTGAACCCACCCAGAGGCACTTTATAAGAAGACTGGGTAATCTGGTTACAAAAAGATCTTAGGCACTGAGGAAGACAGCAACCCTTTCAGGTAGAACAATACCATTCTCTTTTTGAACACATCTCTAGATGTTATGTAAACACAAGCTGGGCTAGCAGGAAAAAAGGAAAAAGACAGAATGGGCCTAGGAGTCCAAAAGAGCTGAATTGTATCTGGGCTCTGTCTCTCTCAACTCCGGTGTCCTCTCTGAGCCTGTTTTTTTTCCTGTGTGGTGGCTCGGGGACAGCTCAGCCCACAGAGAGGCCACAGCCACATGCACCAATAATGAGATGATGGTGGAGACCTCTGCCTCCCAGCTATGCTTCTCTCTGTGCCCACAGGAAGAAAGGCACCCAGAAGCTGGTCCGTATGGACTCTGTTAGTGAGCTGCCAGCCCCGAGGAGGCTCCGGTGGAAATGCTCTCCTGAAATTCAAGGATGTTTAGCCTCTTCTGCAGAAAAGCTTCAGCGGTAAGAGAAGTCCTCTGGTCTCCCAGGTGGTCCCCTGCAGGTGCTGGGTCACTTTAAAGTTTCCAGAGACCCAGCTCCTCTCTGCCTGTTTCACTGCTTCTCATCATGTAAATACAGTCAAACAAAAAGGGAGTTCTAACTCTGAGGAAATAATAACCTTGCTAAAGTATCCATCATTTCCATAAAATGTAAACGTGCAGCTATTTTTCCCCCTACAGGTTTCACCTGACTGAGTACAGTCAAAGCCATGAAACTACCCTCTGCTTTCAGGGCAACAATAAACAACTGGTTTGAATAAGTTATTTGAATCCAAGCTATTTTGATTTGTTTGCATTTACACTGCAACTTGACAAGGGGAGTCTTTCTTCTGAAGGGGAGAGACTCAGTTCAAGTCCTAATAGGAACATACAGGAGGGCTGAGGACAGTGTGGGGCATCAGGAGGCTGTCATGCACCTAGTATTCAACCAGTGCAAAGAGTAGAAGGTGCCAGAAGGCGGCAAGCAGATCTGGTCTTTGACCACGTGTTCTTTCATTCTATCTTTCATCACTGAGACCTGGGGTCAGGTTGCCCCATTCATTCATGTATTCATCAACTGTGTGATGCTCTGTTGAGTGCTGGGCTCAGTGGAAGATCTCTAGGAACACCCTCTCATTGCAGTTGAGAATGAGCTCATAACTGACTCTGTAGAAGGTTTGCTGTGGCTGCCCTCTAGGAATTTACTCTGTAGTGGAGACTCCTAGACAAAATTACACATGATCCAATAAGGTAACACCTTAGAACAAAACCAGATGTCGCAGAGAAGGCTGAGGGATGTTCTGTATGAGGAATGGGCTTCAAAGAGGGTGTAAGTTTATGGTGGAGGTGGATGGGGGAAAGATCAAAAGATAGCTTGTCCAGACACAGAGGTCTGTGTAAGATTCAGGCTGGTACAGAGACCAGTAAGGGGAGAACCATTTAAATTGGGGCACAAAAGAGGTCCAGACTGTGAGGAGTGTCACGTTCCTTCCATTAGAACCTTGGGGCACCTGGTGCAAGATATTCTGGAAGTCAGTAGGGAGACTTGGTCATGACATTGATGGGCAGAATGGAGTGGGGCCCAACACCAGGGCTGAGACATGGGGGCATGACACCTCTGTAGTGGTAATAGGGAGTAGCAGACTTCTGTGTGACAGGTAGAGAGGCTTCAGCTTTTCATCTATTAAATGGGTTGATTTCTCAATCCTGATAGGTGACTGGACATGTATGTTGGCAAGTTGGGCAGGTGTTCAAACAAGCCTCACATGCCCTCAGTTCCCTCAGCTTCTCCTCCAGAGAGCAGGCAGAGCTAGAGGCTGGTGAGTAGGAGCAGAAGGAGCTTGAGGAGGCTGGGGCTGCCCAAAGCAACACAGAATGGTCTGTGTGGCAGGGACAGGGAAGGCTTTTCCTGGTGGCTGTAGTCTATAGAGAGTTGTGCTGCTAACCCCAAGTCAGTGTTTCTCCAGCCATTTGAATCCACCAGCGGCTCCTCTGCAGAGAGATGGGTGATCTCCTCCCATGCAATTTCCACCCGCAAAACTTGCTGGAGGGTCATTATGAGCTGGTTCTGACTCAATAGCATTGAGTTTTTGTGGTGAGAATTGATCTGCACTTGTGACCGCTCGTGTGTGTGTATGTGTGTGTGTGTGTGTGACTGTACTCTGGAGGACTTTCAGGGACCGACATTGCAGAAGCAGATCACCAGACTACTTTCCAAGCCTCTAGTAGATTCGAACCTCCAACCTTTTGATTTGTAGCTGAACACTAGTTGTTTCAAATAGTTAATGAGGAACAACTGGAGGGGCCTCAGAGAGGATAAGGAAGCTTGGGCTATCCAGCAGGGCTTTGCACTAACCCTGCTTGGCATTGCTACATCAGGAAGTCAGGCCGGCTCCAGGGCTCTTTATGAAGGACAAGTGGTCAGTCTGGGAAAGAAGGATGGGAAGGAGGAAACAGAATTCTTGAGAGTCTTAGTGACAATGAGGGGCTTTACCTTTGCCCATGATCTGATAGCAGCAAATGCAGCAGCTTCTGGGTAAACTGGGTTTTAGTTGCTGGCCAAGTCGCAGGGAATGCTAGTTACGGTGACTGTGGCCATCTGCCATTGTAGGCCTTTCCTCTCCACAGAGTCTGCAGCCTTTTCCCTGCGCAAAGGGGATTTACCATGTTCCAGAAGAACGGCCAAATGCCAAAAGGATCCTCAAGGAGGCTGGACACACCTCATTCAGGCCCAAAGAATGGCCTTTCACATAACTTATACATCCATCAGGCTTCCAGAATTTTTTTCCTCTTACTCATACACATGTCTCTCATACCCCAGTATCCCTGTTTGTTTCTTTGCTGCAGTTGGGTCCCTGTCCCCTAGCCACTCCTCACGTACCTCCCGCCTCCCAAAGCACAGTTCACCCTGCTTGGCGAGCCCACCTCAGCTCAGAGATAGGCACGCTGTGATGTGCTTCTGCTGCTGCTTTGCAGCAAAGCCCATTTCTGACTCCAGGCACATTTCTGGGGTACAGGGATTGGTCCTCACTTTTAGGGTGCTAGGACATCTACTGTGCTAAAGAAACTTACTCAGGAACTCATGAATATTATGCAATGTGGATGACCTTGGAGGACATTATGCTGAGTGAAATATCTCAGTCACAGAAGGACAAATATATATTGCATAGGGCCACTATTGTAAAACAGGATTGACATCGGAGTTGAGGGAAAACTGAGAAGGAGGGGAGGAATAACGTATATTGCGCTGAAACAGATGAGGGAGAGAACTGTTTAAAAGGGATATGAGATTGGGTATTATTGTCATGACAGGAGTCCAGAATGAAGGCTGCACAATGGACTGGACTTGGAGGGAGGGACTGCATAACAATGATAGAGTTTTTCTTTTAGTTTTTAAGGAGAAGAGTGAATTAGGGGGGAGAGGGTGGGCAGGAAGAAAAGTGCAACAATGAATGACTGGAAACCCTAAGTCTCTGTAAACTTTCATTAAAATTAATTGAAAAAAAAACTAAAAAAAATAAACCCCTACTCAAAAATGTTTGAATTTTGTTTTACATGCAGTCAAAGTATGCCTTTTCTTCCTTTTTCAGGATTGTGAAGAACCTTGACTTCATGGTTTATAAATTCAACTTCTATGGAAAAACATTCATTAAGCAGCAAAAATGCAGTCCCGATGCCTTCTTGCAGGTAGCTCTGCAGCTGGCCTTCTACAGGTGAGCCAAGCCTGACAATAGAAGAAATCTATGCCCAGACAAAGGGCTGACAGATAAGGTGCTCAAGATCCTAGCACATAGATAAACAGTGGTCTAGAGGAGGGGAGAATGATCATCCTAACTGGACTTTACAGTAAGACTCCAGCCTTAAACAGGAGAAGGAGGGACCACTGGGGGAACCATCTAAACCAGGGCCTAGAGGCAGGTGATACAAAGTGACTGAGAGAAGATTTGAGAAGGAAACAGGTGGGCAGTGGGGACCTCAAGAAGGTAGGACTAGATCTGAATGGAGGGCTAAGGCACTGGGCTAAGGAGCCTACTCTTTATTTTTATAATTCTCTTACCATTCACCAGCTCTTGTAATCAGAACTTCATTGCTAGTGGAACCAGATCTAGCCATCTGGGCAAGTCAAAGATTTTTTACTCATTCTCGATTCTTCTCTTTCCTCCCCTACTTTCCTGTTGTTCACATCCATTTTTCTCCAAAATGTGTCTCCAGTCCATCTTATTTACCTCCACTACCATACACCTCTCTCAAACTACCAGCATCATCAGCTTGGTTAACTGCAACATTATTCTGGCTGGTCTTTGCCCTTCCACTTTGATTCCCTTATCCATCTTCATGAAACAATGAAAGAAAACTCTAATATGGGGGAGGGGAGAGATTATGGCACTTATCTAAGTCTTAAACTCACCCAGTGGTCTTCTATCTGCTTAGGACTAAATCCATGCTTTAAAAAATTCTTTATGACTGAGATTTCACTCAGCATAATGTCGTCCAGGGTCACCCATTTTGAATAATATTTCATAAGTTCCATATTTTTCAATGCAGCATACTATTTCATTGTGTGAATATACCACAGCTTCTCTATCCATTCATTTGTTGATGGGCACTTAGTTTGTTTCCAACTCTTTGCTATTATGAACAAAGCTGAGCTAAACATTTATATGTGTGTATATCTGCTGGGGTGGCAGTTATGGTTTCTTTGGAGCATATTCCCAGTAGTGGAATTGCTGCCTTAAATGGTATTTCTATTTGCAACTTTTTGAGAAAGCACCACACCGCCTTCCATAGTGGTTACACCATTTTACACTCCCAACAACAGTGAATAAGGGTTCCAGTTTCTCCACAACCTCGCCAGCATTTGTTGCTTGCTGTTCTGTTAAATTTCGCTATTCTTACAGGGGTGAGATGATATCTCATAGTTATTTTGATTTGCATCTCACTTAGAGCTAGGGATTTTGAACATTTCTTCATGTGTTTGTTTGCTATGTGAATATCTTCTTTGGTGAAGTGTCTGTTCATATCCATATACTGCATAGTGCCACTGTCGTAGAAGGAGACTGACATCTCAGCTGGTTGGGTTGGGGAGAGACTGAGAAAGATAATAATGTATACTGCATTGAAACAGATGAGGGAGAAAACTGTTTAAAATGGATATGTGATTCGGTATTATTGTCATGACTGGATTCCAGAATGAAGGATGTACAGTGGAGTGGCCCTGAGGAGAGGGATTGTATAAAAATGAAATAATTTTTTTTTTACTTTTCAAAGAGAAGAGTGAACCAGGAGGGTGGGGTGGGAAGGGAGAAAAGTGCAACAATGAATTAATGGAAATCCAAAGTCTCTTTAAATTTTCATTAACATTGATAATAATAATAATAATAATAAAATAATAATAATAATAATAAGCCTTGGACAATAAAAAAAGAAGACCAAAGGAAAATTTAAAAAAAATTCCTTATAACCTGACCTCTGCCATCTTCCTTGCCTCATATGGGAATGTTTCGCCCCTAGATCTCTCAGTACTCATTCTGCCTGTCCACCAGTTCTTATGTCTCCTTGCCTGACCAGCCCCTTCTCACCTTCAAGTCTCATGGCAGGTATCACTGCCTTTAAGGCCTTTGCTGACCACCTGAAATAAAGCAGCCAACTAATCTTCCTGACACCCAGCTTCATCACATCATGGGTGGGTTCTTATTCCTTTGTGGCATCATTAATGTTAGGGGCTTCATAGTAACTATATGTTGAAGAAAAGGAAGAAGAGCAGGGGAGTAAGGACTAAAGGCAGAGGTAGGGAACCCAGGGGGTCTTTTACAGGGAACTAAAGCAAATGCAAAATAGATGAAGGTAAACATGATTTGATCGACTTCTCAAGCCACAGCTCATACATGGTCTGGTACAGACAGTTAATCTTGTCTTTGCTGGTGTTAGACTTCAGTTTGCCTGAGAATGATGCTGTCACATTCATGGAGACATCTAGTGAACTCACAGTAAAGCTAGGAGAGGAGCTTCACTAATGCACAGTGGCACCTGTGTGGCCACATCAGCCTCATGTCAGCAGTAGTACTGTAACTCTCAGAGATGTCAAGTGCAGCCACTCTGAGCCTCATATCTGTAGAACACTTATGACTCCACATAATGGAACACAAACAAAGAAGCCTCACTGAAATGTGATGAGCTCGAATGTGACTTGGGTTTTAGCTGTAGTCAAAGACATTCTGAAGGGTACTCAAATTGTATGTGGCTGAAAAAGGCCATGAAGTTGGGAATAGGCTGAAGTTGTGACTGGGGTCACTGCCTGGACCAGCTTCTCAGACCCCTTGACTGTGAGCGTCAAGTTGAGAGAGGTTGACGAACATAGTCCAGAGTACTTGTCTCCATTACCCACAGTGTCCTGTGCTATCTGCAGAGGGCCAGAGGCTCCTGAGCTCCTGGAACAGCTAAATGATTTCCTATTTCCCTTAATAAAATCCATCAAATATAAACTGTAATAACAAAAATTATTTAACTTGTTCCTGGATTTGACAGAGCTACTCAGGTTGCAGTTGAAAGTAACAGTGACAGTGTCTACTTTTGGAATAGTGTTGCTTCTTAACCAACTTCCATCAAGTTGATTCGAACATATAACAACCCTCTATCTGGTTTCCAAAAGCTGTGAGGCTTAGGGAGACTAGCTTTCTCCCCAGGAGTCAAAGGTCCAGAGACATGTGGCCTTTCTTGATTTTGTGACTTATTTGGTTTTTTTTGGCAGTCCATGGGATATTCTGTATTCTTTTGCAACACCACAACCCAAAGGCATCCCCTAGTACACAAATATCTTATTAATAACACTAGAGTCTCTGACACTTTATTTTTTTCTATAATTATATTAATTTTCATAAACATTTACAGAGATTTTGGACTTCCACTCATTCATTGTTGCACTATTCTCTCTACCCTCCTCCACACTTTATAAATTAGGTCCAGTCAGCACAATTTCATCTGTGCAATAAACTGGTAAAGTCTTATAGAAAGGAAAGATGATGAAGGTCCCTGCAGACAAAATGATAAGGTAGAATTGGAGCATTGATGTGCCACTGAAATAGGAGCGTGGATGTTCTGCCACTTGAAGGCAAACTGCTTCTGAAAATTCTTTGAAATCAGAATTAGAAAATCAACACTGGCCAGACCAATAGCTACAGAACAAGTACCAGGAGATACTAGTTTGCTCAAGCAATGCAACTGTATCTTGAACAAGAACTTCACTGAAGTTCCCCTCACCTCACCCCCTGGCTAAATTTACAGTGATGAAATATCATTCTCTGAAATTCATACTGTTTTTGTGCAGGCCAAGTGGGTGAGTTAAATGAAGGTGTGATGTGGATTTGTGTCCTCTGGGTCCTTGATGATGACACTAATCTCTGTAGCTCCTTCAGGAAGGCAGTGTTGTTGCTTTGATTTACAATTTTCCTAGGGATAAACAGGCTAATGGGTTCCACTTGCCTTTTCCTTTCATAATAGCTCTTATTCCACATGCCAGGAATTCAATGTGGGATTGTGACAATTCCAGAGTATATGTATTCCAAATCTGCATCCTAAAATTGGGAAATCCTTATAGAATGGGTTCAATCTGTTAATAACTGGACTTCTATATGCACTTACTTTCATTAGTGGAACAGTGTAATTTTGATTAACCTGAAATTACTGTCATTTTGGAGCCAGGGTTAAATAATCCTCAAAAAATATGATGTTATCCTTTTCCCCACTGAACAAGTACTCTTTTGTTGTTGTTACTGTAGAAGTTTCTTATCTTTAAAAAAAATTTATACTGGTTTGTTTAAAAAGTTCAAATACATTATTTTTCACATCAAATCTTTCCCATTTCCTTCACCACCCCCACCCATCAAATTGGGTGACCCTATTATTAACCCATTCCCCCCACTCCCTTCTCATCCTTCTGCTTCCACCATCCTCCCACCCTGGATTCTCATACTAAATCTACAATAATGGTTTTATACAGTATCCTTTCCTTATGGGACTGAGTTAGTTAGCATAGTGCTCTCCAGTCCTTCCCAAGCTAGGTAATAATTTACAAAATCATTGGTCCTGCATGCTGCATAGTATCCCATTGTGTGAATGTACAATAATTTCTCAATCCATTCAATCGTGATTGGACAATTGGGCTGTTTCCACGTTCTTGAGAAGGTGAATAATACTACTCTGAACATTGGTGTACATGAACAGTCACTCTTATAATGGTCATTGGTCTTGTTGGAGGAAGCTGGGAGAGATATTACCAGTCCAAATCCTTGGAAGTATGTTGTTGTTGTTGTTAAGTACCATACAGTCAGAACTATATAGCGATAATGAGGTCCTGCTCCAAGGGAACCTGACTTCTACTCTGTAAACAGTCTCAAGTACGCAAATTGAGTGACCTTTGTTTTTGTAATTCAAGTTAGACTGATTCTCTTGAATTAGAAATCTTCTGTTGTGTTGTTGTTGTTAGATCTAATCAAGTCAACTACAACTCATCTTATGAACAATAATTTGAACATTGCCATTCTGACCATCTTTTATATGCTCCAGCCCATTGTTATAGATAGTATGTCAATCCATCTTATTGAGGATTTTCTTCTCTCTGTTTTTGTTTTGTTTTTTTAAGGAAATCAAGAGACATATTACTTTGGGCAAGTCCACTGTCAGGGACCTCTCCGAAATACTGAAGATAAATTATGTC